AGGTTTGAATTTGTGATCATCTGACTTCAACTCCTGTATTACAAGTTTTCCTCCAAATTATCAGATTCTGCTGAAGTGGAATGAGCACTGGGCTGAGATCCAAGAGATAAAAATGTTCTTGTCTCAGCTGTGATACAAAGTAACTGGGTAGTTTTGACCATGATATTTACCCTCTTTGGGTTTCCGTTTCCTCTTCTATAAAGAGTGGTAATTGGACTACCAGATGAATAATAAAATTGCTTCCAACACTAATATACCATGATTTAAGAGCAGCAACTTTGCACAAAAAGAGGAATAGAAAGACAATGGGAGCCATCTGGATGTGAAAATGATGAATGGCAAAAGCTTTTGGAGGGGACAGTCTCCGATTAGCATTCAGTGCCTTGGGGCCCACACACCACATTGCCAGTCTCCTGCAAATTGCCTGCAGCTGCACTGACCTAGAGGCCTCTTAGACTGCAGAACCCTTAACAAATTGTTCAAGGTATTTAGCCTTGGGTTTCCCTAAGAACCCATCTAACCCATAAAAATTAGAGATCTTGTAATTTTGCCAACTTTGCTGGTAGAAGTGTAACAAAGTTTTTTTGTCAAAATTAAATTATCCATTCATTCCAGATAGCAAGAATGCCTTTGCAAATTCTTTCTCGAGTAGCTGACAGTAGAGGATTTTCACATCAGCAAAAAAAAAAAAAATCTAAAGAAACAATCATAATGATATCATGATGGAAGAAAAGTTGTGTTAATCTCGTGAGCTATGTGTCTGTATCCACTTTTATAGGACCATGTTCAAAAATTCACAACCTTAATCCATAATGCCTAAGATTTCTACAGATTTTTAGGGATTTATATTCTCATTATTACTACTTACTCTTATTTAGAAATCCTTCTTAAGTCTCAATCTCACTCATGCTAGCCGCCTATTATTTTCTTTCTACCCTATGGGAACCCAAATGACTTCCAAAGTATGATTCCCACAGGGCAGTGCTGGTGATGACAAAAGAGAATCTCATCATAGCATACAGAGCAAACAGTCCTAAATCTAGTATTATAAATCCCTGTTCTTAAAAATTTCAAAGCCATCTTTGCCATTGGGAATTTTTCAATGGCTATATTTTGTCTTGAAGTCCTGGCATCTCTCATCGTGTTGCTTGGCCCTCTCTTCATCTCCCTGGACTCTTGGGATACCCTCTCAAAGTCATATATCCAAAACGTTTTTATGCAGAAATGCTGGCTAGTTCTCTTGTATTATCCTTCCAGATCATGTCCAGTGACTATTTCTTCATACCCAAAAAGAACTCTACCACTGACATGCCAATTTACAGTACATTGTACTGTACTGTACAGTACATTTAACTACATTGTCTGCTACCCAATCTTTGTACAATTACGTTACTGGAATATAAGTGGGATCTTTATGGCCCAGTCTCAGCACAGTGTATTATTCAAACAAACAAAAAGGAATTCTGATTCTGACTCTTCAAGTTAACTAAGAGATTTGATTTAAAACAAAATAATACTTCACTGCTTCACACTGACAGTGGCAGGAGGCAGACAAATGCCTAGGCAGATAGGAGTGGTCCTCAGTGAAACCCCACCTTCAAACCAAAGACAGTTTAAAGCCTGAAAGCCAAGCTACGAGTCTTGAATAAATCTGTGGACCAGATTAAGAGCCTCTCTTCCCATTTGACATGCTTTCCTATCATTGATCCCCACCTCTTCACCTATTTACATATACTTACCCTTCCCTAATTTTTTTTAACACTGTTGTGTCCATCTTTGAGTGGTGCCTTTGTTTTAGCCTTTTTTGCATACTCACAAACCAATCAGCATGCACTCACCCACTCTGAGCCAATAAAAGCCCTGGGCTCAGCCACACTTAGAGACTGCTCACCTTTGGGCACCCGACTTCAGAGAGGAGGCTGCCCTCTTGGATCCCCTCCCCACTGACAGCTGTCACTTAATAAAACTCCCTTCATACTTCAGTTGTCAGTGTACCCTCATTATTCTTGGATGTGGGACAAGAACTCAGGACCTGCTGAATGTGTGTACAAAGAAAGACTGGAACACTGTAGCCCTCTGCCCTTCACTGGCAGAGGGCAGCTGCCCCACATGATGGGAAGCCGCGGTGAGGTGGAAGCAGCAGCAGGGCCAGTCCCCAGAGCCACAAGCTGGAGTGGGACAACGGGACAAAAAGAGCTGTTGGCATGCTGTAACACCCCCATAGGGATTTGGGGTCACTGGCATCCCTGTTCAGGTGCCACTGTGTTCTCCTCATCCAGATACCAGTGCCCAAGGCAAAAACAGGTCACGTACACCCAGCCCAACTGCAGGCTGAGCACATATCCTGCAGCAAGTGTTAGATACGGGCAGGAGTGCAAGCCAAGTGCTTCCTGGGGGGCCAAGTGGGTGGGATACCTCCTGCGGCAAGCCTGGGCCAGAGTGAGGCCTGGGCAGGGGTGTCACTAGCCACAGAGGTCTCCAGAAGGAAAAGCAGCTCTGAGAGAAATCCTGTATCAACACCTTAAAATAATTCTTCTCCCATTTCTCTCCACTGCCAACCTTCATGTTAACTGCCCAAAACTGTTCTCCCCATTCTTCACTCTTCATTTTTGAAAAAAAATATATTACCCAATAGGCTTATCTTCACAGACACTCCTATTTTCTCATTCCCCTCCAGAACCCCCTTTTGTAGTGGCATAACACTTTTTGTTAATTTTTTGGCATTTTTAAATTTTGCAATACCTCTCAGCCCATTTTGAAATAAACCACTCCTCATTCTTAGTTCATTCATTGGTCTAATCAACATAACAGGTAAATGGAGAGACAGCATGGGTAGGAACAAAATTTTCATCAAGTAGTGGAAAAGAAAATGGCAGTGTGAGTACTTATGTATTTTTTTTTTGTCCTTTTTACAAATAAACATTTTTGAATGAATGGAAAAACCAAAACAAATGAATTGCAGTAGACTCACACAGTGACAATTGTCATGTCTGGAGTTCTTAGGACTTACAGAGATAACATGGCAGAAATAAATTAAAGTTCTTTTTGATATAATAAAAGACACCTTGAAAAGAGATTTAACTTGAGAACTGTACCTGGAAAATGACAGCTGTGAATTGATTTGAATGCAGCAACATATATTAAAGGAAACCAAAAACAACTATTTACTACACATACAAAAGAATCTTCTGTAGATTTAGGCAACATTCAGACAACAGAACAAAACAGAACCTAGTATAAAGAAGTCCAGTCCAACTGAGTATTGACATCAAAATCCATATGCAAGAAAGCTCCTTAACGAGTTAAAGTTTATTGATTGCAAACAAAATAAAAGATCCTGACTAATTTAAACAGAATAGAATATCACTGTAAAAAATATGAAGGAATGCAAAGAATAGAGAGAAAGATTTCAATCTGGCTCTCCCTCCCCTGCTGGAAATGCTTAAATAAATTTCTTCTAACTATAATTGAGATCAAGACCAAACCATCAACACTGCCTACAAATTGTGGATGACCTGGCTCCTTCTTCCCACTCCAGCAGTTTATTCTACCTCTCTCTCCATGTTGCACTCACACTGGCCACTTTGTGGTTCCTTATCTATCATTGTCCCCTAGCCACAGGGCCTTTGCACATGTCCTTCCCTCTTTCTAGATGATTTTCCCTCCTACCTCTCCCACTTCAACTAGTTCTTATCTCCTCATCCTACAGGCAAAAGATAAAGCTGCACTTCTCAGGTTAATGAGTTTGGGTGCTGATATCTACATAAAACTCTAAATAAAACAACAAAACAAAATTATTAACTCCAACAGGGAACAAAAAGTACAATAAAAGAAAAACAATTATTGTATACCACATGACTAAGGCATGAATAGTATTTACAGACATCAGTCTAATTGCTGAACACTGAATTTTCTGACCAAAATTATGATATAACTCTGCTGGGTGTGAGGTGTTGGTGCAGGAGAACAGGACAGTAATTACAAGTATTATTGGACTACTAGATGAATAATAAAATTGCTTTTATTTCAGGGGGAAGCAGGGAGGGGGTGGTCAGGAAGTGGAGGGAGAGAAAGCTAAATCTCTTCTTCCACAGTGGAAAGGTCTCAAAAGTGTGCCCTAAACTGAAAAAAATAGCTGTAAGAGTTCAGTCTTTGCAGCTGGAGGATCGCAGATAGGGGAAAGTAGAAAATAGGGTATAAAGATGCTGCTGTCTTGTAGGAGGAACAATACAGTTGGCTCCCGGAACTGAAGCCGGGACAAACCGGTTAGGAAAATCCCTGCCAGAGGTCATAAACATGTCAGAAGAGTAACTGAAATAGCACGGATGGCGGGAGATGGCGGAACCAATCAAGAACAGCCAACTCGCACTGTTCAAATAGCAACCAATCCCAAGCCTACGTCGTTCAAAAAGACCCCTATGACTCTGTACTTGTTTACTGCTGACTATAAAAGACAGTTCCTGACCCTCCTCTGGGCTCTCGCCCGACGTTCAGCCGGGGGTCCAGGTTCGAACCTGCAATAAAGACCCTTGCCGCTTGGCTTTGACTGCAGTCTCTGGTGGTCTTCTTTGGGGAATAAACGGACTGGGTACAACAGTCTTTAAAATAAATCTTAAGAAATTATTGATTCTTAAAGCCAGGTATACATATAATTTTATTTTTTAAATGATACTATTTTCTAAAAGCTAAAGGGAAATTAAAATAGGAAAGAAACAAGAAAGGCAGGAGAGAGGTTAATGCATGTTGTCAAAACTTGTGCATCTGCTAGAGATGGGCCAACAATTTGACCATGACTAATAATGTACTTTCTGATAAAACTTTTAGGCAAAAACTTATTATCAAAGAAATAGAAATCTTGGTTGTGCGTGTTGGCTCATGCCTGTAATCCCAGCACTTTTGGAGGCCAATGAGGGCAGATCACTTGAGGTCAGGAGTTCGAGAACAGCCTGGCCAACATAGTGAAACTCTATCTCTAATAAAATACAAAAATTGCTCTTTCCAGCCAGTGCCAAGTGATGGGTATCTCTCGGGACAACTGGCACAAGCGCGGTAAAACCAGGGGCAAGAGAAAGCCCTACCACAAGAAGCGGAAGTATGAGTTGGGGCACCCGGCTGCCAACACCAAGATTGGCCCCCGCCGCATCCACACAGTCCGTGTGCGGGGTGGTAACAAGAAATACCGTGCCCTGAGGCTGGATGTAGGGAATTTCTCCTGGGGCTCAGAGTGTTGTACTCATAAAACAAGGATCATCGATGTTGTCTACAATGCATCTAATAATGAGCTGGTCCGTACCAAGACCCTGGTGAAGAACTGCATCGTGCTCATCGACAGCACACGGTACCGACAGTGGTACAAGTCCCACTACACACTGCCTCTGGGCCTCAAGAAGGGAGCCAAGCTGACTCCTGAGGAAGAAGAGATTTTAAACAAAAAACAATCTAAAAAAATTCAGAAGAAATATGATGAAAGGAAAAAGAATGCCAAAATCAGCAGTCTCCTGGAGGAGCAGTTCCAGCAGGGCAAGCTTCTTGCGTGCATTGCTTCCAGGCCGGGACAGCGTGGCCCAGCAGATGGCTATGTGCTATAGGGCAAAGAGTTGGAGTTCTATCTTAGGAAAATCAAGGCCCAGAAAGGCAAATAAATCCTCGTTTTGTCTTCACCCGTGTAATAAAGGTGCTTATTGTTCTGTTCCCACAAAAAAAAAAAAATACGAAAATTAGCCAGACATGGTGGCTCCTGACTGTAATCCACACCACTCTGGAGCCTGAGGTGGGAGGATTGCTTGAGCCCCAAAGGCGGAGGTTGCAGTTAGCCAAGATTGCAACACTCTACTCCTGTCTGGGTGACAGAGTCAGACCCTGTCTGGAAAAAAAAGAAAAGAAATATAAATTTCTATGATTGCAATTAGCACCTTGTGTCTAATAATGTGTTCTCATTTGAAATTGTTTATTGACAAACCACTGGTAGAGTTTCCAGAAGTGGTACGTCTCCAGGGAAGGCTTACCTAAAATAATTTCTTCCCCTAAATGCATCAGGACCACAAGTGACATTTTTTTCAAGATGAAAAATTATGTTTAATGGCCTATGTATGTTGTAAGACAATTATTTCTGATATGGAAAACAACAAGAAAGTCATGTGGAGAAGCAAAGAAACCATATGCTCAGGAATTAGGAGAACTGAACTTTGGATTTTTCTAGAGTTTGGATGTTTGACCCCTTCAAACCTCATATTGAAACTTGATCCCCAGTGTTGGAGGTGGATCCTAATGGGAGGTGTTTAGGTCATGGGGGTGAAACACTCGTGTGTTGACACCCTCCGTTGGGGGTGAGTGAGTTTTTTCTCTATTAGCTCCCCCAGAGCTGGTTGTTAAAAAGAGCCTGGCACCTCTCCTCTCTCTTGCTTCTTCTCTTGTCATGTGACCTCTGTGATCTTTTCTTACACGGGCGCCCCTTCACCTTCTACCAAGAGTGGAAGCAGACTGAGGCCCTCAACAGAAGCAGATGTCAGTGCCACGCTTCTTGTATAGCCTGCAGAACTGTAAGCCAAATAAACCTCTTTTCTTTGTCAATTGCCCAGCCCCAGATATTCCTTTACAGCAACATTATATGGACTAAAACAGATCTGTATTGTCCAAAACACTAGTCATTTGTCACATGTGGCTACTGAGTATCTGCAATGTTGTTAGTCTAAATTAAAATGTGCTGTAAACATGAAATATACAAAGGATTACTAGAAAATTGAAAATCACATCTGTAGTTTGTATTATATTTCTGTTGGACAAATACTGCTTGTTCTGAGTTCTGTCATTAGTGGTTGCATGGTAGTGATATGAATGTGAGCCATTTAACTTTATTGGGCCTTGATTTTCTTAAGTAGAAAATTGGTTGGGGGGGGCAGTTAGATAGATGGCCTCCAAAGCCCCTTTTCATTCAGAAATGTTACAAAGAATCCTAAGGTGTGACACAAATTAATGACTTGAAAAGCCAGCAGATTGTTCCTTCGAATATCTCACCTCCACCATGGTGAGCTTCCCTCCCTGCCCCTGTCAACCGTAGTCAGACATCTTTACCAAATGCTGTTCTCACCAGTCACTACTCTATGTCCTGTGCTGAATGCTTTACAAGTATTTTATCACGGGCCGGGCGCGGTGGCTCAAGCCTGTAATCCCAGCACTTTGGAAGGCCGAGACGGGCGGATCACGAGGTTAGGAGATCGAGATCATCCTAGCTAACACGGTGAAACCCCGTCTCTAAAAAAATACAAAAAGCTAGCCGGGCGAGGTGGCGGGCGCCTGTAGTCCCAGCTACTCGGGAGTCTGAGGCAGGAGAATGGCGGGAACCCGGGAGGCGGAGCTTGCAGTGAGCTGAGATCCGGCCACTGCACTCCAGCCCGGGCGACAGAGAGAGACTCCGTCTCAAAAAAAAACAAAAAAAAAAACAAGTATTTTATTACGTACTTATCCCTGCGCTATGAAATCAGTAGTATTACACTGTTTCACAGATGAGGAAACTGAAACCTGAAAATGTTAGCTGACTTTGAAAGGCTTCAGAGCCAGGATTTGGAGGAGTCAGGATCCATATTCCTCTGAATCCAAAACCTGAGCTCCTTATCAGTGTGCTCTGCTTTTCTTTACAGAAGCCAAATTGGTTTTCCTCTGGAACCTAAACTATATTACCAACTTTTTGAGTCAGTACAACTCTTCTGTCTTGTTTTTCATCTCTGGATCCTCAGCACATAAAAAGGATGATTAATAAGCAGTACAGTATGATTAATACAAGATGATTAACAAATAGGACCATAATATTATGAATTTCTGTGTCAGTTGGTTTAAAATTAAGATGACATTTAAGGTATGCCTGTAAAATAATGTGACATTGTTGGGTTTCTAAGAATATATATACATATCAGCCATATCTAGAATGCAGTACATAAATGACCATCATCTACTTCAGAGGAGAAACTTTGAACAGTTATTTCAACATTGTTTTCTTAGTGTTTTTTAATCCTCTTTATAAATTGTCTTCCGAGCCAAGAACACATTTTCTTTGAATGTCTGAGACACAAATTTCATCTCTTCTTTCATGTATTGTTTATGTGAGGCCAAAGAAAAAGATGTCAAAAGTACTTAAGAGCCGAGTTGGAGAGTCTCCTAACAGACTACAGTGAGCCAAATTTGAGCAGCAAAAAAATAATAATAATAGTATCTGATTGAAATATAGCAGATATTTTCAAAAATATTTTTAAAAACCCATTGGTCATCACCAGAATTTGCTGGGTCATCAAGCCATTACTATAAAAAACAACAAATATATGGAATGTATTGAGCATTTAATTCCACTTTTCTGCATAAGTTATATTTCAGTATAACCAACTGTTGCTGAGGAAAAGGTCTTGTATGCAGAACATTTCTAGCACATAAATGCAAAAAGAATGATAAAATAAGAAAATCACCATTTGCAATCCCTAATAAAATAATGGGTCAAGGCAATAATCATCATAGATGCTAAAACCATCAGGTAAAATTTGATGAGAAACGTTAAAAAGAAGAAATCATGCTGACTGCATTTGAAAGTGGAATATCCAAAATTATGTTTCACCTCATGTGATGCAATAAAAAGTACAAAGCATTTGTTTTTTAAAAAAAGAAAGAAAGCTGAGTTTAATCAAGTCTTCAGAGTTCTAACTTCCCATTTACAAGATATATAAAGGCTAGAAAAAAGTTAAACAACACAACACTAGAAGAAACCAATCAGTCATATCTAGGACGCAGCGCATCCTGAAGGACAATAAGCTTGGTGTATTCAATAGACGATGTTCTTTAACAAAAATTTTAAATGGGTGAGAGTGGCATTAGCAAGATGGCAGAAAGGAGTTCTCTGGCTCCACTCCCTCCTCCACAGATGCCCAACTTGCAACTATCCAAGGGCAAAAATACCTTTATGAATATCCCAGAACTCCGGAATGAAGCAGAGACATCCCCTTCAACTGCACAACTGGGAAAACCCAAGATAAAAGGTCCTCCCCAGGCCAGGAGGCAACTATAGGTTAGTATTTACCTGCAGAAGGAGCATCTGGTCCCTCTGAACCCCAGCAGCTAAGAGGTGATCCAACTAAGACCAGGACAGGAGGCAACTGCAGGTTAGTGAGTACCCACCTGGCCCTGCCCAACTTCAAATGCAAGTCTCAGTGCTCTGCTAAAGCCTGACCTAGGCCAGGAGGCAAGCCTACATAATATATATCTGTGGAGCATACCTCTGGCCCTACCCAACTCACGTGGCCAAGCAGCAACCTCAGAGGCCTCATCCAGCCTGGGAACCCAGCATCCAAACCCGCCCAACTAGATTCAAAACAACAGTACTGTCCAACCAGGGAAGAAACCTGTAATCCTGCCTGACCAAAGATGATTGCAAAACTCTGCCTGATGGCAGCATCCATCCAGTGGTCTCACAAGACCATGGAGCACAGCCAACACTACCCATTTGACCACAGAGAGCAGGAAGCCACCTAGCCCATCTAGAGAGCCTGATACCAAAACCTGCCTTTCCAGGTTTGCTACCAGCTCGCCCATCCAGGATTCTAGGCCAGACTAAATAGTAAAGATCTACCACCACCAAAGCATGCCTACAAAGGCTGGAAAAAGTAGCTATCTCCTCAAATGTATAGGCATCAATGTAAGAACACAAAGATTATTATAAATCAAGGAAATATGATACCACCAAAAGAAACTAATAAACTTCAATCATTGACCCAGAAGAAAAGAAAAGCTATATAATGATTGACAAATAATTTAGAATAATCCTTTTAAAGTTCAGGGAACTCCAAAAAATATTAATAGAAAACTAAATGAAATTTGGAAAACTCAATACATAAAAAATGAGTCTGACAAAGAAATATAACAAAAAATAGAAAACTTAGAGATAAAAAATACAATAACTAAATGGAAAACTTTCCATAGAAACCTTCAACAGCAGAGTGATCAAATAGAAGAAACAATGAGTGAGCTAAAAAATAGGACATCTGAAATTATTCAACTAGAATAGCAAAAAGAAAAAAGAATGAAAAAAATAAAGAGGGCCCATGGTAATCATGAGACACCATTAAGGGAACTCACTTTCATATAATAGAAATTGAGGAGAAGAAGACAGAGAGAAAAAAACCTACAAACCATATTTGAGTACATAATGGCTGAAATTTTCCCAAATCTGGGGCAAGACAGCAACATCCAGGTACAGGGAGCTCAGATCACCAACCAAATTCAAACCTAAGAGAAGTTCACCACAGCACATTGTAATCAAATTTTTAAAAATTTAAGACAAAGAATACAGAAAGCAGCAAAAGATAAGAAGCATATCATATTCAAAAAGGTCTAATACACCTTTCAGCAGATTTCTCAGCAAAAACTTTGCAGGCCAGAAAAGAATGGAAAGATACATCCAAAGTGCTGGGGAAAACAACTACCAATCAAGGATATTTTAACTAGCAAAACTGTCCAGAATTGAGTGATAAATAAAATCTTTCCCAGGAAAACCAAACCTAACACAGTTCATCATCATGAGGCCTGTGCTATAGGAATTGCTAAAATACTTTTTAGGCTGAAATAAAAGCTAATTAATAACAAAAAGACACACAAAAGTAAAAAAATTCAATAATATAAGTAATACATAGTCATATTCAGCATTCTCAAATACTGTTACAGTGATGTGGAAAGCATTTGTA